GTGTGTGTGTGTGTGTGTGTGTGTGTGTGTGTGTGTGTGTGTGTGTGTGTGTGTGTGTGTGTGTGTGTGTGTGTGTGTGTGTGTGTGTGTGTGTGTGTGTGTGTGTGTGTGTGTGTGTGTGTGTGTGTGTGTGTGTGTGTGTGTGTGTGTGTGTGTGTGTGTGTGTGTGTGTGTGTGTGTGTGTGTGTGTGTGTGTGTGTGTGTGTGTGTGTGTGTGTGTGTGTGTGTGTGTGTGTGTGTGTGCAGCATAGACAGGTCTTTTCTATGTTAGAGTTTTACTCGCTACAGGGTGTACTTTGAGGGTTTGTGACTCTGCAGACCGTTTACATGCATAACAAGCTACATAACACACAAGCGGATGGGTAATAACCAGAAAAGCATGACATGGGACCTTTTAAGCTGTGTAGTGTGTTTGCGGATTGGAGTTTGGCAAAATGTATCAATGTGGCCTAGCTGCATGTATTTGTCCTCACAGGAAATACACACACGCACAGAATTACAATAACAAATCTGCCTGCACACAGAGAAGGTTGAGAAAGGTGACTCAGGCTGAACATTTACATTTTGTGTATTAGTGCCTTGAGGCGTCTCACCCAGTTTGACACACAATTGTTCCTTAATTTAAAAAATATTAAGCGCTCAAATAGTGCTACGTTCCTATGCTAATGCTCTGATCAATGAGTTGACACATTTGTTAACCAAAAGCCTTCTGTTGTGGTTATTTATGAGCTCTGATGGTCCTGCAAATTTGGATAGTGCAAGCTATTTATCCAGGCACAGTAAGGAAAAACTCACAAGCACATGAGTTATATACAATTGTTGATTAGCAGTATTATTAATAGGCGCTAAAATGGTCTAATCTGACATGCAGCATCCCATGTAGCCTGAATAGAATCATCCTTTTTTCCACCACTGCTTATGTTCGATTGGCTCCTTTGACATGCTGACATGTAAGCTAGTGAGGATTGTGTGTATTTTGGCACATATACTTTAGTGTTTTGTGTGTGTGTGTGTGTGATCCCTCTAATGAGTCTCTGTTGAAACCCATTGGGAGCTAGAAGCCATAAACGAGACTAATCTCTCTCTGCAGAGGAAACTATGCCGACTGTCGGTGTCTCTGAATGTTTTTACACGGATGATGTTATACACAGGGCTGCACATAACTGGTGCGCAGGTGCGCATGCGCACCTCCGCCAAAAAAAGAGCACCGGGTCATTTGAAACAAAGCGCATTTGCGTACCAACATTGAGAGAGGGAGAGAGAGAAGGGAGAAGAGAAAATAGAGGAGAGAGAGAGAGAAGAGAGAGAAAGAAAGATATTTGCGAGTTGCATATGAACCATGATATGAACTCAGGGTCGGCCCGTAGCGCTGGCTAGATGTTCGCCTAGGGCGCCAGATCTGGGGAGTCGCTGCGCTGGCAGTTCTGGGAGGGAAAAAAACATTTTGACCGTTGGGGCTCATCCTAATTTTCGGCCTTGATGTAACAATATTCATAATTAAGTAAATGTAACACCCTTTTCACCACGGTTACACGTTTCATTTGCCCTGTACGATGGGCGCTGTAAGTGATGTAAATGGGGGATGTTGGCTTATCTGGCGCCCGCAGCTCACAGCCAAAATGCGAGGGAGAGAGGGAGGGTGCACCGGTACCAGCGCTGTTGTTATTAGAATCTGGTGCCGTGCTAGCTGCTCTAACAGATATAAGAAGAAGATGTTTCTACAATAATGTGGAGGGAGAGTCCTCTCCAGTCAGACTGAGAGGCTGATACTACAGCTCAGTGAGGTAAATGACTCTTAGTCTAAGTTCAAACGGTTTGGTCACAATTTATGTAAACACATATTTCCAAGGCACTCCTTTATAATTATTGGGATAAACAGGTTTCAAATCATTCCAATGTATACTATAGGACAGTAACCAAAAATATCCTTTAAAACTGGAGAGATAAAAAAAAATGCATAAATAAATAAATGTTAAGGTAAAATAAGATATGAATGAATAACACAAATAAAATAAGTTACATTAATTTGTTATTGGCTATGGTAGGTTATTTGTTATGTTCACATACTTATTTGATTACATCCACTTGTCTAAGATGACAACAGAGACTTTCGACCCAAACCAGCTGTGACTTGTGGATGCAAGCAGCTAATCGCAGACTCAACCAGAGAGGAAGTAGTAGGCCTACATCATCAGCTACCATGTCTGACAGAGAGGAAGACAGTGAGGAGAACAGTCAGGAGGGTAGTGATGACAGCTTGTAGGATTACTGCTCGTGCTAATGTTGTCTTGTGTTCACCTCTGCATGTGTGTTCTGTGTTCACCTCTGCATGTGTGTTACTGAGTTCACCTCTGCATGTGTGTTCTGTGTTCACCTCTGCATGTGTGTTACTGAGTTCACCTCTGCATGTGTGTTCAGTGTTCACCTCTGCATGTGTGTTCTGTGTTCACCTCTGCATGTGTGTTCTGTGTTCACCTCTGCATGTGTGTTACTGAGTTCACCTCTGCATGTGTGTTCTGTGTTCACCTCTGTGTGTTCAGTGCCGTGTGTCTGGCAAATAAAGTCAAGACCCCCTCAAAAGTTACGGTTTATTTCATTTTAAGGATGAGCACCAAGCAACATCTCCAGGTGCTCCTTTGAGAATCAGGGCAAAAAAGTTATGTGCACCCCTGGTTATACAAGCTTACAGCGAATATATATCATTGTGCATATCTGTTTACAAGCAACTTAAATAAGAGTTGTGTTTAAGAAGAGGCACACTGACGAGCTCTGAGCAGGTGATGTTTTACTCGGGTGAAGCATTTGTTGACCTGTGTATTATGCATAATGGATTCTTCCTTATAACAGAGCTGTTTTGAGCTCTTTTTTTGGCTTGTTTTGTGTTTGTCTAGTTGCCAAACTCTAATTGCTACATTTATTTTGTTTCCTAGCTTAAGGCAATCTTTATCTCTGCAATCCATCCCTCCCTCCTCCTCTGCCCATTTGATTGTCTTGACATTTACGCTTGCCAAATGTTGGAAATAAGGCAGTTGGCTGCTTTTAAACTATTAAAGACTGAACATGCACTTTTGTCTTTGAAGAATTGGGTGAAGGAATTGGTTTGGATCATTCACCTCCTCCAGGTTTGTTCACAGAGTCTGAACACTACAAAGATGGGGGGAAGAAACCAACAACAGGACTATGCTCACCAGATAGTTTGAGATATGTTCAGACGTAGGTGGTGCTGTGGCCTTTTCTGGAGCCGTTCACATCTGTGCCTTCTGGGAATATGTGATTTGCAGCTTGTGTTTTAGATATCTGATTGCTCGCAGCCCTCTAACTTCATTCCCATCTTTGGATGTTGTTTTCTTCAATGATTTCCTTCCCTCAAAACAGGGTTTATTTCATATTCAGCAACACTTTGATTATAGGAATAATCAGTGATGAGGCACTGCTCTGATTGGTTCAATTGGTGAAAATAGTTGGAACATGAATCAGATTGCTTTGCTCAAATCTTCTGTGAAATGTTCATACCGGCAAAATGCGGTGATAATAATGATGCGTTTTATTTATATAACATTTATAGAGCAATTACACTCTGCTTGCAGCTCCCACTGGGCAAAATTAAGACGTTTTCATTTACTCTTCATAAAATACTTTTATGCAGGTGCTACATTAGCTTTAAGATTCTGTCCGATTCCACACAAACAGTTATTTGGGGACAAAAGGATGTAAAGAAAAGCTTTCCCTGATTCAAGTTAAAATGTCAAAAATAAATGTCCTGTAATAAATACTCAATGAAGATGTATACTGTTGAAAAGAAACATCCAAAACAGCTCTGTTATTCTTTGCTGAATGAATAATGAGCTATTAAATAACTTTAAAATGAATAAAGGGCAGTACATGGTCATTCAAATGGCACCGCCGAGCTGATCAAAGTGAGAACATTTCTGTTCAAAGGAGAGGAAAAAAACATCTTAGGCAGACTAAATGGAAATTTTAGCTCAAGGGTGTGTTTAAAAAAAAAAGAGAACCTTTTTAGTAGGTTACGGTGATGTTTAAAGCTGAAAACTAAAATAAATGCATTTGGAGATGCGCTCATGAGCGTTTTGCGTTGGCAGTTAACAGCTTGCCGAAACGAGCTTGGAAGTGCTCCCGGTGTACTCTTACCCGTATTTTATTTTAAATGTGAGCACTTTCTTAATGCATTCTGTGTCTTCATATGCGAACCATTGCTTTTCCTGCCCACGCTGTCTTTAGTTTTCTATTTATTACATATTTGTCTGTTTGCTTAAGAATGAGAGATGGGGACACAGACTTAGAACAAGTTAGACCTTTGGAATTTAGAGGATTTTGTCCCAGTTAGTTAATATATTCACGTGAAATAGATGATAACAATACATGTTTTTTGCAAGTTCCTACAAACCTACGCAGATGTTTTGTATATAAGTTCAACAGAGACATATTGTCTATTCTTGAGGAAAGATTATGCTCATTTTCAGGTTTCATATTTGTATTGATTCCCTCTACTGTGACATGTTTACATGCTTTAATGTTCAGAAAGGTCTTTATTCACGTCAAATGTGTTGGAGCGCCAGCCAATAGAAGCGCAAGTGGTCCACTATGTTACGGCATATCTTAGAAGACATATTATGGTCCCTTCCAATACACTCATTTCTTTACATTTATTGTACAAGCAAGTGATTGTGAATCTGACTGCAGTGTGAAAATGTGCTTTTATGATGAGCTTTTAATAAATCCCCCTTGATTAATGACCTAATTATTACAAGGCAGGAAAATGATGAAAAAAGCCCTCGTGTCTCTGTACAAATAAAACCGAGCTTATTTTCTTATTTCATGGAGTAATATCTGCGAGGAGAGAGCACTGTGTTTTTGTTCTTCTGCTTTCATGGCTCATTAAGATGAGTGAGTGCTTCTTCATGACTGTTTACACAGCTGACATTATTATTAGGATAACTCGGAGCTGTAAAAGTGCCTTTTTCTCTCCATGTTTTCTGCAGGTGGGCTACGAGAACGCGGGCACCGTGGAGTTCCTGGTGGACCGACAAGGCAAACACTACTTCATCGAGGTCAACTCTCGACTGCAGGTTGAACACACGGTCACTGAAGAGATCACCGAGTGAGTAGCAGATGTTTACTTGTGCGGATGGTTGATGCAGTTATTTTTTTTTTGTGTGAGATGCTTCCCCAGAAACTTGACAGGGAATGTTGGAGGCCTGGAGGAGGCTGGGGTTGCATGATTATCAGAAACATCATTACCAACATTTGGTCAATACTGAGATCACGATTATACAACATGATTTCATTACACGTTATCTTTGCTTTTATTCAAATTGACAAACATTCACCCCCTGAGCCATAGTGGTTCCAATCTATATACATCATGCATTTAGAAATAAAATGGTGTAGAGCGAAATGAGGTGCTGGATCTATGAAGAACATTGCAGAAACTATTTAAATAGGAACACATTGGTCGGATAATATGCATTATGATGACACAACAGAAAAAAGGACATTCCAAAGCAGAACTACAGCTGTCTTTTACCCGGGCATGATCTCTCACACCAGACAAAAACAAAGCATCATTTCCAAACAGAGTGCGGCAAAAGCAACTATTTCCTTTTCATCAATTATGTTGTTATCATAGAATCCTCACCAGCCAAAATTGTGATTAATCAAAGCACATGTTCGTAGCGTGTCAGTGGCAGTCAGTGACTTCATTGGGCCCAAAAACACACTTTCCCATTGACCTGAGGAAGAAAGGTCTTTAACCCAGCATTTGTTTGTTTTTTAGCTAAATCAACTAAACAGTACACACACTCTTTTAGTCCTTTTTTAAATCACTAGGATCAACAAGTGCTAACATTTATTAAAAGACGGTAGATTGAAGGGAGGGCCTCAGGAAAACTTAAGTCTGCATGATCCGGGTACTCTTTGAATCAGTCCATTTTTGGCTTCAAGTGCCACTAAGCAACTTTTAGAGGAATGATTGGGCCCCCACCTCCGACTCTGTATCCAGTTTTCTTTATGCATCCATGGATGATCGATAAGAGTGGAGGCCATTTCAGACTTAACAGAAGAAAAAACATGGAAAAGGAAAATGGACGGATTGAGGAAAGGTAAAAACGAGGATGGATGAAGAGTACAAAAAGTGGGATCAGTGAGGAGATAAGCGGGACGATGAGGTCAGAGAGAGAGAGAGACAATGTGAGTGAAAGAGAGGGAGCATGATGAAAGATATAAATAGCACTCTGATTCACTGATGACCTGTGAGATTTGCTCAGCTGAAACAACACAGATGGGTCTCAAAATAACACACACACGCCACAAACTCAAAAACCCACAGGTCTACGTACGCCCTGCGGTCACACCCATAAATCTGTGCTCGGCACTGATGGCTGTACACAGAAAGCTACAATTACGCTAATTCGTATTAGATCCTCGCCATAATTAGATTAATCAATTAATTAACGTGTGCAACTAATATGGGAAGTGATGCATAAACACACAATGATGTCAGCTTGTTACCATGGCAACCGAACATGACTGACAACTGTATAAACCGTGTTTTTGTTGTTGTTGCTGTACTGATCAATCTCTACAGTTTTGTTTGGCATCTTTCTTGTCTTTGTAGTGATGCTGATTTGCATTACAAAACAACGTGAGCTAAATCGGCTCTGGATGTGTACAAAGACTCATCAGTAAACATTGAAGTCTTGAAAATCATTAAGTCAAACCAGCGCCCCACTCACAGCCAAAAAGTCCATTTTTGTTTCCCAAAACTATTCATTTTGTGTTATTTTGAGGAACACGGTGTCTCTTTTTAAATCTATCCCGTCAGTTTAGGTCTTTAAATATTTATGCACGCCAGAAAATGTGAGTGTGACTTAATATTAATGATTTTAAAAGACAGATGTGACAGCAGTAATATTGGTCATCTATCTATTTTAGGAGGCAGTCCCTTTTTATGATTTTGAAAGAGGATTTGATTTTTCAAAAGTTGCATGTTTTCCCACCTGCTACATGCTTGGTCTTGACTCAGTGTTACCTCAGTTAAGGAAACATGTTATTAACTAAATTGTCGGTGGGTTAAAAAGCCCCCTGCCACTCTCTGACTTCATTTACTTTGGCTGATTAGACATCTTCCCAGGATCTATGTGGGCGATGACCCCCATGGTATCTTTGTATATCTTAATATGGAAGACATATTTCACTTTTATGATTCCTTAAGGAGTCAATGATGCATCCACCAACTCGTAAGCATCTTCAATAACCAAAAGCACCTCTCAGGGTTTGCAGACGCAGTTTAAAACTGCCATGAAATCAAAGTAAACGTTTTAAATGAGTTTATTTGATAATGTATTGAACCGGTTGTCACTTACTCACCTGTATCTGGTAAAACAATGACAAAAAAAGTCATGTACTGTAGTAATGGTATTTTAGAGTTTGACATCCTGTAAAATGATGTTGTTGACTCATCGTGTACTCAGGGATGCTTACTATGTTTTATGGATGCATGAAATGTTTTTAATATGGACACATCTTACCATTGGGATACATCAGTTTAATCCCATGGATAAACCTGAATCACTATCATCCCCTTGCTGCGTAAACTAAGAACTTTGCTGACAAATATTTCACTTTCACAAGTTGATTTAAAAAAAAAAAAGATATGTTAAACTTGCTCTGTCTTGGTAGTGTCATACTGCTACCAGCTGTTGATAAGCTTGGAGTCAGTGGTCAGTAACTCCTCAGGGTTACTTGAAGACTTACGATGCTTACTCTGCAATAGATATTTATAAAAAGTGGTAATTCATTAAAAACACACACTTTAGATTATTTGAAGACGGGTCATCTGTATGATGGGTGTTTCTGCATGTTTTCTCGTGTGTCTGATATCTTCATTTTGTAAAAAGTCTGCTGAGCTCTTCTGTGCTTTTTCTAGGAAGCAATAATGTAGGGAGAAAATGGGATATTTAACTATCATAAATCATGCATTTCATGAGCACAGAGCAGATATAACTACAGTGTAAACTTTACCGAATTTCTTTTGTATTACTGCCAAGGAATTCAGTGTCATATTCAATCCATTTAAAGATGAAAAAGGGCTCAAATAAGCAAGGAACTTGGCCATTATTATACTCATATCTAGTTGCAACTCACAGCATATGTCATGCTTGATCAGTTGTGAGGATAAAATGAGATGGGAAAGATTTTGACTTCAATAGATGTTTCTCTAATCTGCATTTGACCTCCACTTGCCCTCCGTTTGTTCTTGACATCTCCTCCTCCTCTTTTCCTTTCTACCTGCTTACTTGTATGCATGGACACACTCTCAGGTACACACTTACCCTGTTCTCCTATCAGCGAGACAATTAGTTGGTAGAAAGCCATTATAACACATCCTTTTCTCTCCAGTCAAATCAACACGTAAAATGTGACGTTTTGGGGAATTGGGGTCATTTAAATCTTCAGGAGAGCAGTTGGTACTCACAGCATCCTGAATCAAAACGCCACATTTTTAAAGTTCCCCCCCGTCACAGGCCGCACCTTTAAATTTGCACAGCGTTGATTTCAGAATGGCTTTCAGCAGCCACCGCCAAAACAAGTGTTTCCTACAGGAACTCGATGTGCATCCATCTAAATAGTGGGGGACATGTACCCTTTGCAGTGGCACATGCTTTACATTTGAGTATAAATGACTATTATGCGTTTATTTGAACGTTACATCCATTAGTCTCCCAGCGTTCCACTCCACTGCTCTCCCAATCTGAGGTCTGCAAGCACATTCATTCTTGTTCCTCGGTTTGAGTCGGACTGTTACTAATAGACTTGTCAGTGCGGTATTTCTCATACTGAGTTGTGAAACTCCCCTTTTAAACTTTCTGTTTTCCTCCTCCTCCTCCTCCTCCTCCTCCTCCTCCTCCTCCTCCTCCTCCTCCTCCTCCTCCTCCTCCTCCTCCTCCTCCTCCTCCTCCTCCTCCTCCTCCTCCTCCTCCTCCTCCTCCTCCTCACTGTGTCTTTCATCAGTTTCTTGCCTAATTCCTTTTTCATCAATCACTCTTTGCTAGCTTTCTCCAACCTGGCTGCAGTTGAGCCTTTCCCCTTCCTCTTTTATCTTCATTCTGTCTCTGTCTCTGTCAATCCCCCTCCGTCTTCCTGTGAGCTGTGTTAGGGAGAAGTGAACTACACAGAGCTAAACTAGTAGTTTATTAACTGGTTTAACTATTCATAAGTGTATAAAGAGACATTTGTATGTTATGGAACTTAGTTAGACAACAGGCTCTCTTTGAAATGTGCGAATTAAAAAAGCTGGCACTATTTGAACACAGGTTGAGTGGATTTTATAATTGAACGTGGCTTTAATTAGCTATTTCATAACACAGCACACTTTTTTCTCGATTTAGCTGGTTCGATTCTTTCTATTTAACTTAAGTAGCCTAATCTTACCACACTCAATTTCTCTTGATGGTAGCTTTGCTGTGGTTCAACGTCTCCCACAGTGAAGTCATTGGTAGTTTGCAAAGCTATACTTTAATAATAATAAATGATATTTATATAGCGCCTTTCAAGGGACCCAAGGTCATTGGAAGGGTACTTTCAAGTACCCTTCCAATATATAGACTATATATATATAGACTGCATGTCAGCAGCACCTGTAAGTGGGCTCTTATCGGTACGCCCCTCAATTAGACTCTCTGGAACCGATTCCCTCCCTTTGATGTAGGCTGCATGCTCTGCACTTTGGACTGACTGTTACTAATATGCTGCTATCTGCACTGAGGGTCAATGCAACACACACACACACACACACACACACACACACACACACACACACACACACACACACACACACACACACACACACACACACACACCCCAAAGTCCCCTCTCCTTTATCCATCCCCTCTTCCTCGCCACCCATCCGTCACCTCCTTCATCCCTCCCTCAGGTTCTCCCCTTCATCTGTCCGTCCTCCTCTGACCTCCCCCTTCTCTCTCTCTCCCTTCCTCACGCAATTGTCCCCCTCCTCTTCTTCCAGCCCTGTCAGTGTCACTCCTCCTCTCTCTCCCTCCCTCTCATCCATCTCATGTTTGTCATTCTATCCTCTCTACCTCC